AAGAGCGGCAGGATGATTTAACTGAATAGAAGGTTGAGTGAGAAATAAACACCACTGCTAGGTTTTAGAGAACAGGATTTTGGTGTACTTACGTTCTTTGTCCTTCTCAACAAGAGAAGTGGGTGGTGCAATGGCAGCTCCTCCCATACCTATGAGTAAAATGGAAAACAACACATTTGTATAATTAGGTTCTGTTGCTTGGAATAGCTTCACTGAATCTTAACACAGCTGCTGGCTCCTTACCAGCCAATTCTTAACAGACATCACTATCAACAGAAAAGTAGCAAGAGAGCAGTCTAAGAAGTTTCAATAGTGGTAAACTAGAAATGAATGAAAGGCACATCAAGGGAGACATCATCAAACTGCAGTGATGTACTACATATGGTGTCTATCATAAACATGTTTCACAGGAATTCAAAATTAAAGACTGCGGTGAAACAAATCTTCAGTTCTAAAACTACTCAATTAAGCCAAATGAAAAAGACAGTCTGTTCAGGATTAACTACACTTTCGCAAGAGTAAAGTACAAAGCCCCTTCCATATTTTAATAAGCAATATTCTAATGTAGTCTCAAACTTCCAAGCCAGAGCAAATATTTTAAGTGTCCTATCAGGAATTTTCTTTTCTAAAATAAAAACAGATCTGAATTATTTACTGTAACTTAGTTGCTGAAAGAGAATAAAGTTTAATTTTGTTTATGCAAAGACATATCTCATCACTCAGATCCACATTTTGCTAACTAGTTCTAAAGGCATTCAAATAACAAATGCAGGATTGGTAAGCTTTTATAGTGAAAACTCAACAGTGATTCTCATAGCCCGATTTTACCTCGTGCCTCACCCCTTTCCTGGAACCTACACCACGCAGAAACTTAAAACAGGTATCTACAAACCAATGTAAAAAGAGGTCTTTCCGCAAATAATTTAGCTGCCATCTCCCTCCACGAAAAGAAGTTTTCTGCATTACAACAGTTATGATGTAATAAAATGCTAGGTTTATTCTAAAGGCTCAGCAGTAACAGCATAGTTCTCAGCTGAGAATAGAGAAATACAGAATCCATAAAACAGGATTGTGAATTCCCCATCCCTCCCTTTTTCTTCTCTTTCCCCATCAAAAAAAAAAAAACAACAACCCAGCTCCCTTACTTCTTTTTCGTCTCTCTCTTTCATAATCTTCATCTTCGTCAGAATCTGGATCTGGTCTTCTTGAAAAGCCACTGGCTTCATGTCTGTCTTTACGTCTTCTAGGAGACACAGTAAGTTAGGATAAGAAACCATCAAAGTTAACTCTTTGCTTTAATCTGTGATAGCACCATTGTGGTGTGAATTATACTGCTACACTCTTATTGGCATTTTTTAATGTTTTCCATGAAGGTGTAAGTAAACACTTACATTTCTTTGCTTTTATCCTCATGGAGTATTTTTTGTAAAATATAAGATGATCCAAAGAAAGATCATTTTCCACTTGCAAGTCATCCAAGGAGAATGTATGGAAATGAGGAAGCATCTGAATAAATCTAGTCCCGACTGACTACAGTGACTGAATGACTACAATGGAAGAGGTGTTGGATGGAATCGACAGGAAGGTAACAGAGACATTAATCAATCACCCTGCTTTGAACAGAATCCCTTTTAAATTCACCATCACAGGCTATATAGAGTAATATCATTTACTCAGTCAATTAAAAAAAAAAATCATCACGCTTAAATAATCAGATTATTGAGAAGCTAGCTTGGCAACTAAAATAAGATTCAGGCAAGTCTATTAAAACTTTTAACATTTAGCTGAGGAATGCTTCAAGAATTGTTTGCACTTAAACTGTTATTTACTGTGATCACGAAATCACTCATTTTAATACTTTAGAAAAAGGACAAGTATTTTCCCCCAAAAGCACAGCTTGGGGCATAACTCAGATCTCATTCCCAGCACAGCCAGCAAAAGTGTGCTACAAGATGCTAAAAACAGCACTACTATGGAACCAGACAAAATTTCCGAATCTCTACACTGTGAATTTAAAACAAATGTACACCCTGTTCAAACAGCCGGGTTATCACAAAGCATACATCTGATCCAGGTTTGGCTGAGATTGTTTCCCCAAATTTACATCAGAATGTATTATGTATTTTTCATTTCCTCTCTCTAATGTTACATATAAAGACCACCCTCTTGGCCCACATATAACAAGTACAAGCGTGACTAAATAGCAATCACCGCTGAAGCTGTGGAATGACAGCCCCGATTTCTGAGATCTTGCATGCTAGTATGACAGAGCCTCAGGCATTCCTCCTCCAGAACAACGAAGATATAACCGAGAGAAGACAGAGAAGTCCAAATGACTAGAGATATTAATTCCCACAATCTAAACAGGGCAACAGAATATCCCTCTTGTAATTCCATAGACGTTAATGATTCATATCATGATGAAGCTGGCTTATTAATTTCACTTAAAATAAGCAAATATAATTCTTACCGCCTGGCTGGCAGATGTTTTACCACCTATTTCAATAGGACACTGAATCTGCATTCAACTTCTTTAATATGATTAGAGAGATTTCTTATTCCAGGGAAAGGGCATTAAGGTAATTAAAAATAAGTAGTATCTTCTTTTGTCCAGAGACAAAAGAATAATAAATACACAACTAACTTACTTAAACTGAATGCAAAATATTAAAAAAGAAAATGCAACTATGCTTCTCAAAGGCTGTGCTAGCTACATCTTTAAAACTGAAACGCATTCATGTATCTGTTTGGAGTATTTAAAAGCAGAAAGGATGGTTTATCATTGAGGATGGTTTATCGCTGAGTGTTGAAAGGTATTTCTGTAGTCCAGTTATACTGACAACAAATACTCTAAAATACCTGCAAGATCAAAGTCTGATAATGATGCATGAAGTACCCAAATACTGCTGCTACTATCAAAATAAGTAAATGTAGAAAAACTTGACACATGTCTTTCAGCCAAAGAGGCTGTAAACATGACAAATCCTATAATTTTTGCACTGTTAGGTGATTTTAGCAAGAGCATTAAAACATATTAATTAAAACACTGCGCTTGTTTCTATAAACATACAGTATTCTTCACAAAACCTTTAAGAATTTCCCTGAAACCGTTTAGAGGGATAGAACTAAACAAATCGATGTGTTTATTCTTTATATAACTGTCAGTATGTCATGAGTTTAAACAAAAGCCTTACTTTTCTCTTTCTTCAATCTCCTTTTGCCTCTCCAGCTCACGTTGCCTCTGTCGTTCCTCTCTTTGACGTTTTACCACTTTTTCATAGTCATTTGGGAACATGGGATCATACTCATCTGCCAAAGGAATCAACACATCTCCTGCAGAAAAACCACTAGGTACGGGATCCTTAAAAAAGAAAAAGGAATTTTTTTCAGCTGAAATCTGCAAACAACATCAAATGGGAAACCAAGAATTTAACACTTCCTTCTCACTCCCAACAACACAAAACTCAATCCCTGACTTCTATAATGGCAGGTAATATCCTAATCCCACTGGTACTAGAAGAAATCTTTGCTTTACTTAAAAACTAACATTTCACCCAGTCTCTCACTATCTCAGGTTTTTCCACGAAGAAAGAATTACCCCCACCCACTCCCCCTGCCAAACACAAAGCAGCAGCAAATCAACGTGGACAAGAATTTTTCAAAAACCATTCATTCATTATTGGAAGTATTATGGTATCTTGCTGTTGCAACCATCTGCAAGGGGTCCTCCCACACACTCTCATCAGTCTTTTTCATCATCTGCTATTAATGTAATACTGACAGAGGTGCACATACTGTTCTTCTCTCATCTGAAACAACTATTTCAGAACCATCACCTTTGAAAAAGTTTCAAGGAGAAAGTTTCTTTTGATTTCTTACCACAAGAAATCCATTTTAAAAGGTTAGGTGGCTTTTCTTTTATTTTTAAGTTGATTGTTATACAGGTCCAGTTCCAACACTGGTGCAGTTACAATTACATTCATTTTTTATTTACCTGACCAAATTACTGTGTTGCAAAGTACTTTGAAGCTGGCCAGAAGAAATACGCTAGGAACACTGTTTTATTTTTACTGCATATTAACCTCAGTAATTCCATGTTTTATCACATGGAAGTCTGTATAAAGTTGAAACATTCATTTATTAAAGATGCTCTGAGCAGAGGAAATAAATTTCAGAAAATGATCACTTCTTTGACCGCTAGGAAAGACAATGAAAAAATAAAAATACAGACTGCAGTGAAAGAATTCCAATTCCAAAACATTTGTTAACAGCTGGATGTTTTAGCTGTCTTGGTCTTACCTTTAACCCAGCTGCTACATGAGGTGGTGTGTCCACAATCTGTCTCTCATCAGAAGAGCTACCTCGTTTCAGGTCAATTACTGGAGCAAGGACTGTTGTTTGTTTTGTTCTCTGACTCTAAAAAAATCACCAAAACACAAAAAGATAACAAAACAGTTTTCTAAAAAGCAGCTTTCTTTATATACTTGCAGCTGGTATCTCCATTTTTTTTTTTAAAAAAGGATGAAAACCACTGTCTCAAATTCTTCACTGTGCAAAGCTCAATATATAATTTCTCTTCAGTTTACCAACCTACAGTAATTCTCAACATTTCTAATGAACCTTGATGTGGGTAACTTAGTTTACACCATATTTTAGCAGTGGCAAGGGCCACGCCGTTCTGAGACAGATGCTTGCCAACTACGGTTAAAGAGCTGCCACACAAATACAGATCTGATGCAGAATTTCAAAGAACGCTTCAGTGAAACCAGTGCATACTTTCCTCTTTTTAAGCGAGTGAGGTCAGACTTCGCTTGTGCATGCACTAGAACATACGGTGTTGGTGAATGGTCCTAGGTTCGGGCTAGGACCAGAAAAACACATTAAAAATTCAGATAATCTCTTCAGATGAGTTTGAACCAAGTGGGGTTTTTTTAAGAAGGGGCTCAGACTTCTTCCGAAAATGTACTTTTCTTCATATTTCATCTTCTGATAAAATGTATTAATCTATTCTGAACTCTGAATTTTCTAATCCTAATCTATTCTTCTATTAGTCTGTGCATACACTGCGTATCAGTTACGTAGACAAAGACTATATCTAATATAGCAACCATTTAGATTTCATTCACACAGGTTGTTCCAATTATCAACCAAATCCTGCTCTCAATTTTAGCAGCATAAATCAGGAGTAATTCCAGCGAAAAAAATACTGTGCCTACTTAAGTATTCGGTATCTATGCTACTACTTCTTTTTTAATTAAGTAATCTCACTCTAGAACCTACACACCACAAAGAACACACATGTCCTGCCTGAACCAGAATATCAACACTGCTTAAAGAAAAAGGGTGAAATACTGTAGCAATAAAAAGAGAAAATGGCTCTGTCACAGTTTAAACTCAAGGAATTAGCTTGCACTCCTCCTCTCTTTCATGTACACTGGAAATATTTTCTGCAAGAATCTCTAATGCACAACGATTTGCACTTTAGGACCGAAAGCTTTTTAAATAGCAAGCATAAAAATGCATAAAATGACGCAAACATGTAAATAACTGATGCAAAATGGCAAGAATGACCAACAGCCGGTACTGCCAACTATCAATCACAGTGTGACCCTTACTTACTCAAAAAAAAAAAGAATAGCTTAATCTCATTATGTTTGAAGTTAGATTTGAACATCAGCTTTTGGCTCTGCTAGTTAAAAGATCTGAGGCTTGCAGCACACACATCAGTTCTTCATTCAATTTTAATTTTGCAAGACTCCCCCTAACAGACAAAAAGCATGCATCTTGCCTTTTCCCCCCTCAGTTTTGCTAGGCTCCTTGCTACAAACTTACAGACAAATCCTAGCAAAATTACCCCAAATCTGTATTCTAAGGTCACAACCTTTCCTCAGTGCTCCGAACACAAAAGAAGTTTGAATAATAGAAAGAAAAAATACAAAGGGACTATACCTTTGCTTGTGTGAGAGCTGCTTTCTTCACCTGCAACTGAGACTGCAGTAGTTTGAAATTTTTGGACCAGCCTTCTGTTTTAGAATCGCTGGTCTCAACTCCCAAGTCATCGTAAAGTGACATTTTCTCTTCAATTTAAAACTAAAAGACAAAAGAAAAAATCCAGATGACATAACAAACCTATGTCCAGGGCTTATTTGCTACTAGTTTGCCTATGTTTGTACACCATATTTTTATATATCTTTTTTTCAAAGCCAGAGAAAATTCAAAGTAATAACATTTTTCTGGTTAGTGGCAGATACACGACTACAGTAAGGCTGTTTAAAAGTAACTGTTTGAAAGGTAATGAATATTGTCCAAACATTAACAGCTGTTGGAAATTACCTAAAATTATGTTTGTAGCATTAGATACCAATCATTTCAGGCTTTGAAGAAGTTACGCTGTAGCCCACACTGGTATTTTGAGGTTCACAAAGAAATTCAACATTAAGTATCAAAAAACCCTCAAGACTTCAAAATCAAACACAAAGGAATTATTGTCTCTGCCGGCCTTAAAAACTATCCGCAGAAATGTATCAACACTCCAATCATCTTCTTAAATTTCAGCACTTTTTGCATCACTGTAAAGGAATATCTTTCTTATACTTAATAATACTCTGGCAAGTATATTTAGTAACTATTTCCACAACATTTAAAGGCCTCTCAAATACATAGTGGATTACACTATCTCCACCCAAAAACTTTAACTTCTTAATTTACTGCAGGATCAAACATAACTGATCAATGGTCTGCAGTGAAAGCTTACAGATTCATCAGCAAGATCTTGATCCCACAGATTTGACAGATACTTATATTTGAGGGAACCTGCCCACCATGTAGGAGGTGACTGTTACTACAGATATAACTTATATGCATTTAAACCTGCGCAAAAAGTCTCAGATGCAGCAGACAGCAACTATATTACAACTGCAAAAGGTGGCAAGCTCAGCAAAAATTTAAAAAAAAACTCAACAATTTAATCCTGCAGTGGAATATGAACAACCAGGGATGAGCAGAACAAAGTTCACTGCAAGAAAATGGAGATTCATTGGAGATCATTACACATACGGGTACAGGGAATGAAACACATAGGGGCACATTATAATGCATACGGGAACAGGATGAGGACAAGGCACTACAACAATCCCCACCTGCCACAGGGGAGTAAAGTTTACGCAGTAGGAGTGCAGCTATTCTGGGGTAGATATGATGCACTTGGGGTACATTATCCTACGCCTATGGATATAGGGAGGGTGCTGCCATGGCGGGAAAGGGACTTTCTGCCTCAGCGCCTGGAGGGGAGGGGGTGCACCACGGCCGGGGA